CGGGGGGGGGGGGGGGTGAAAGAGTGACTAGGGCGTACACGGTAGAGGTGCAGACCGCTAGTGTCTTTTGCTCACGCAGAGTCTTATCCTTAGGTCCATTGACCCTCTCTTGAGCCTTGAAGCAGTCAAGCATGGACACACTATATCAGCTGTTGAAGTGGAACCCTGTACAGGTAGGCTCTACTTTTCAGCAGGCACAAGATTCATGTCCACTTCTAGCTGATTGCGTATGTCGCATACTCTTTTTCTACTGCAAGGCTAAAACAGTCCAGCTAGCTCTGACAACTTAAAAGAAACTACGGTGCCCTGTACTTACCTAATCCGGTGCGTTTCACACTTCGGAGAAGGTAATCTCATAGCTACTAAATACAGTGAGGGAGCAATAGCTGACTCACCTCAAGTACAAAATCAAAGCGATAATGTACCTCGGCTGGAGACTGTACTTTTCGCTGGCGGAGATACCATGTACCGGCGCTCACTAGCTCTTTAGGGCCTGAGCTAAATCAAACTAAAAAGGGAAAGCGGCTTTTTCTCTACAGAGACCTATAAAAGAATCAAACGACACTCGCGTAACCAAGAACTAAAAATTCAAGACCGCACAATGCAATGAATTAAGATGCCTTGCAAAATGCAAGGAGCGTACGGTCCGAGGAATAATCTTCTCGTGACGTGGTCTCGACCGCTTTCATTCACAGACAAAATAAACTGCATCAAAAGGACTCTCTTTCACATTCACATCAAAACACAAGAAGGAGATACCGGCAAATGTATGTACAAACTTGCACTACAAATGCCAATCATGAAATGACTTAATCATCAACCATGAACGGTTGTCCATTAGAGGTCATCTCAGAAAAGCGACTGTGATAGATATCATCAGTTATGCCAAACTGTCCATACCTATCTACATGCTAAAGCGTATAAACCTGGAATGCAGGAGTATCTTCTTTGATAAAAAGTTTCTCCTGGTTCCAAACCAGAGTTCATTAAAACTTCAGCATGGCAATTTAAAGTCTAATGATGGCTAGGAAGTGAAGATACTTCTGGTTACAGTTAATACCTTGCTTCCAGGCTTGACTTTAAATTTCAGCCTTCGCTCAGGAATTATGCCGCTGCAGACGTTGAAGCTGCTTGACCAGAAGTTGGCGGCCTTCCTTTCTTTCTATTCTGCTTCTGTCTCTCCTTCCTCCGCACGTTCGCTTCTTGAAGCGTTGCTGCTGTGCGATACTGTCTTCTGTCTCCAGATGAAAGGGAAGCTGGTCTGAGGGAAATAAACATTGGACCATGACTATCCTCGTCAGTGGGCCTTGAGCACATAACCTCTGTGTCAATCATAGCAAAGTTCTCTGAAAAATTACAGATGAACTCCTTCGTGCTCACTGTGGAATTTTCATATTCCTCTTCACTCATTGAATGACCCCATTCAACAATGGTAGACAAACATGTATCGCCAAGCCTTGATCCTTGGTATTCTTCCTTTTCAACAGTAGAGTATTCTTCCCAGAGTTTGTCAAAGTAATCTTCACACTTCTTGAGGACCTGAGAAGTTGAACTGTAAAAAGTTCTGGGAATAGGTGCCTTGATACCAGGATCTGCTTGTACACGAGCTTCTGAAAACCTGCGGATCCAATGCTGCATGGTGCTGTAATAGTAGTTAGCCATTGGCTGCCTTTTGTACCCAGACATTCTGTAGGCCAAACTATTTGCATCACCAGAAATGATGTCCACCTCATAGACAAAACACTCGTAAAGCATCAATGCTGTCTGTTCTCCTGTCAGTAGGTGGGCATCCACAGCACGGTGTGCATCAACATGATAATTACAGACTCTGATGGTATGCATGTTCGCTCGAGTAAGTGGAACACGCTTGTCCTCAGGACCATAGTCATCAAATTCAAAGTCTGCATCCTTGAAATCTTGACGAGGCCTTGTTTCTCCAAAACAAATCTCGTAGATAGCCCAAGTTACATCACGCTGTTCACAATGACCAAGTTCTTGATCATGTCCAGCAATGATCTTGACATATCCACCTGGTGCCAATCTAGCCATCACTGCAAGATTCTCCCAATCATTGAAACAAACTGTCCAATTCTTTTGCTCAATAAATTCCTTGGCAGGAACAAGAAGATGAGCTTCCTGGAGAATCACGACATGTGCACGTAAAAAGAAGAGCATATTGAAGAAAAGGTTGTTCTCAAATTGCTCATTCTGAAGTGACATGGCGCTCTGTTTGCGTGGCTTCATTGCACCATCAAGTCCTTGGAGAAACCTTGGTGTGGTGTACTTCTGACCACGAACCATGTTGCCATAGTTCCAGGATAAAAATGTCAAGGACTCTGAGCTGGCCAATAAGTTAGTTCCATATGGTTCTTCTATTCTTCCTTTAAGGAACCTTCTGCACAGCTCTTCATAGAAGGTGACAAAGTCCCAACTGGGTCCCTTGGGACCATATAATTCCAGTTCCTTCTTGAGTTCCTTCTTCGTATCCTCCAATTCTTCTCGAGCATGACCTGCCCTTTCAAGGGCCCTTGGATCGACCTGATACCTGCCATCCAAATAAATGATGCGGTCATCATTGATGAAGAATCTCCTCAAATCATGCCCTCGTTCATGTTCATAACAAACAGGTGGAGGTACTGGACAGACATTTCGAATGGATCGAACAAAATCATTCTCGTTGATCCTTGACTGATAATGAGGATGGGAAATCTCACCTTTTCTGAAACAAACATGATTCAGCAATCTTGCATGAGTTTCCCTGAATCGTAGTTGATAAAAGCCAATACCTGGATCTCCTGTAAGCTCTCCAAGCAACTTCAAAGGTGAAGTATGCAATTCATAGGTATTGTCAGCTTTTGTTGTATCCTTTTCAACAACTACTTCAGATGGAAAAGATTCTTGGATTTCTGCCTCCAATTTCTTCTCTTCATCATCCTCTCTGACCTCTTTTATTTTCTCCACCGCCTCTTTCTTCTCTTCCATGGTTGCATCATCCTGAACTTCTTCATGAAAATGAGGATCAGGAATTTTATTCAGGCGGCTTTTCTTAGATTTCCGATGACCTGAAGTATCATCAAGGTTAGCATCCATCTCACCTGATGGTAAGTGCGACGCAGTCGAGTCTTCACCTTTCTCTCTTGACAGAAAGTGTGGTGTTGACTCTTCCTTGGCTTCCTCCTGGTCAACTTCCATCCTTGATTCCTCTGAAGGAAAAACACCTGCATCTTTATTTAATATTTCTTGTTCCTTTCCAGGTTTAACTGCAGGATCTTCTTCTGTAACATCCTTGGTGAGCAAGTCCTCTACAAAATTTTCTCCTTTGGTTCTTGGAAGAGGTCTTGAGGTCTCATAAAAATCTGTCCTCTCTGAACTGAAAGTTTCTGTCGCCTTCTCATTGTCCTTTTGATCCCTGAACAGGTGAGTAATCTTCACAGCTTCTCCCTGTAGCACCTGATCACCTCCTCTATACTTGTCGACAATGGAGCGCCATACTGGAACATCATCATCATCAAAATCAAGCTCCATATCATCTGCCAACAGGTATGAGATGTTTTGAGCTGCCTGTTCTTCTTCTTCATCACGTTCCTTGGCAAGCTCCTCATCCTTCTGGATCTTGAAGATACCCTTCAGGATGTCTTGTAGTACCTTTAAGTTCAGCTTCGATGATGGCTCATACGTCCCTGAACTTACAGGCTCAACTACAACACGAGAGCAAGAAATCGCCTCCAAAAACTTGGAATTATATTGGCGTTCAAACTCTTCCTTTTTGATCATCTCATACAAGGGATCAGAAACTGCAACACGCGCTTGAACATAATCACGAAGTTGATAACATGCATGTTGCACAAATCTACTGTTGGAGTTGTGAAGAAAACTCTCCAAATGGTTTCTGTCACGGTCAATCAAATACCACACAATCCTTGCAGAAAAACGGAATTTCTTGAAGTTCATAGCAAAATGTGTATGATACTTCTCTGGATTCCTTTCTGCTTGTAAAGCGGCCTCTGAAGTCTTGTAAACAGGAAGTTTTGTGTGTGGATCCAAGATCATAAAATCTTCCCACAAGATCGAGTGGTTAAAAACCCACTTGGGAAGCACCTTGATGAAAAAGTCACAAACAAGTTCAGACAAAAGGTGCATGACACGGCCAATCTCTTGCTCCTGCTTGAAACGATAGTGCAATTTGGCAAACAAGGGACTGTTGAAGGCTTCCTCCACTGTGTTGCCAAAATTATCCCACTGAGGTTCTGGAATACCAAAGTTCCAACCCAGCAATTTGGGATCTCTGCACATATCCAAGAAGCTTGAAAGTTCTACAGAAGCAATGCCATGGTCTGTCAGAATTTCAGCCCAGCGGCGTCCATTCTCCCAAGCACGGATGAAGAAAAACTGTTGGTATCCAGTTTGTGCCAACTCCATCCACTGAGAAATTCCGGGTTCAAAACTCGGTGCATACGTCTTGGGGTTTTCCTCTGTACCATAAACACTTGGACGTAGCA